AACACTGTTTCATACTTTTTCACAGTAACACATTTTTACACACTCTGTTATACACTTTGTTGCACACTGTTACATAAATTGTTACACACTGTAACAATTTAGTGTGTTACTGAGTGTGTTACAGAATCTTTTGCACTCCAACACACTAACATTTTTGAACGCTTTTACACACTGTTGAACGCTGTATTACACACGCTTTAACACACTCTGTAACACACTGTCCTCTCTGCTGTAGACACAGCTGGGTGGTCTGAAACTGAGCAGGCCGGGTATCACTTTTCTCCTCCCTCCATCACTCTCTGTCCTGTGTCAGTATCACACACATGTCTAACTGCAGCACTTTACCGTGTCACTTTAGAGTGGAGGTCTTGCTTTTCATGTGGAATGTGTGTGTGTGTGTTTCCCTGCTCCTCTTCACACTCTCCATGTTGTGGAACATGTCCAAATCATGTCCATAAGAGTTTGTGGAGTATTCTAAACCCGTCATCCAGTAAAATGATTAAAATAATAGCTGCAGTGACTGTTCCAAAAAGCAGAAGTGCAGACGTCACAGCTCTAAAAACTACTCGAGTGCTAAGTACTGCAGTGGGACTGCTTAGCTCATCCAGCATCTATCTACATATAAACTATGAGCCTGAAATTGACTTCTTATTCTAATTTTCCATTCCACCTTAAATGGCCTCAGGGCGGCAGAATGTAACAGTTGCACCATTTAAGGTGGAATGGAAAATTTGAATAAGAAGATTTATTGGAATTGAAGTCAGATTTTATTCTTCTCTTTATGGATCCGAAAATAAAGTGCTAAAGCTACAAAGTGAGAGGCATAACAGTAAAGCAGTCCAGGCACTGAACCAACACAACAGAATGAAATAAACCCCAAAAAGGGAATTAGGAGCTCAATGTTATTGGCTAAAATAAATGAAGTAAATAAACTTGAAAAGAATAAAATGAAAAAATAGACAAAAAAGCGTACGGATTTTTGAGAATTGAACTGAAGTACATGGAAGTAGACAGAGCTTGTTATTACACACCACTGGAACTACGGCAGTTTGTAATGTGAGGCTGATTTAGAGTGGCTGTCCCTCAGGGCAGTGCCATGACGTCATCACCCCAGGACATCGTCACCCCCCATGATGTTCACAGCCTCTGAGAACAGGGTTTGGAAACCCCACCTGTGGTTCTCATGACCGCACCACAGGGGTTCCACTAAAACCTAAACCCAGTCAAACCCTGGCCCAAAAAAGATCTGGATCCGCACGGTGCCATTACTGCTCCTTCAAACACACACTGGCTGCAGGTTTGGAAAGTGACCATGCTGTGCTGAGAAAGTCGTTTGTTTTCTCCCACAGAGTGTTGGCTGTGTTTTTGGACACTGAAGCTCTTGCATGTACATGCAAATACAATTACACAGACCTCATTTTCAGCCCATATCATGGAAAACCACATTTTCTCCCTTTTTTGAAGTTAAACTTTGATGTTTGCATTATTGAAGTTTTAAAATGTACCATTAACTCCCAAGTCTATAAAGTCTATATATGGATAAATAAGCTGTAAAAATGGCTTGCTTTGAATGAACTGGTTTTGTGATGTCACCAAAACATCTCACTTTTTGAAAATGTTTGATGTTGTATGTAAACTTTGTTGCAGTTTCAAAACTGTAGCGTTTTGTAAGTAGTAGTCTGTTTCCTAGTAACACCTTTAGTAACACCCTTACACAATAAAACACTGTTACACTCAGTAACACACTGTTAGTAACACCCTTACACACTCAGTAACACTTTTAAAAACACACTGTTATACACTTAATAAGACACTATTATACACTCAGTAACACAGCCTGTTACACACTGTTACAGAATTGTGTTACATACTCAGTAACACACTGTCACACACTCTGTTAAACATTCAGTAACACACTCTGTTACACACTCAGTAACAGCCTGTTACACACACTGTTACCATCTCGGTAACACACCCGGTTACATGCTCTGTTAAACATTGAGTAACACTCAGCAGTAGTAGCACACTCCGTAAACAGTCTGTAACACAATCCATTACACACTCAGTAATACAGCATGTTACACTCTTAGATACACACTGTTACACACTCAGTAACACAGCCTGTTACACATTGTTATAAAATTCTGTAACACTGTAACACATTGTTAAACAGTCAGTAACACTGTTGCACACTCAGTAACAGTCTGTTACACATTATATCAGACACTGAGACCCACAAGGTTCATTTACACGTTTTGAAGTATTTTTAAATGAATGTTTTTTCATAGAAAATCAAATTTCCATAATTTTCCACTTACCACCAGATGTAGTTCTAAAGCCAAGACAGATATAATGTCTAAATTGAACTTTTTTAGTTTTAAAGTGGGGTTGTGAGGCTAATGTTGCTAACAAACACTAAAAGTCAGTTGTCACCCAAATCCTTTGCATGAATACATCAACAAAACATCTCTCAACCCTTGCAAACCTCATCTAGATCTTCATTAAGTTCGCTCAGACTTGTCAATGTGGTTTTTGGACTATAGTCCAAAAGTATGACTTACTGTCTTCCCATTTGTGTGCACATCATCACACAGGAATATCAATTCTAGGTTACTTTTACGATTTTCAGTTGTTTCTGTTTATGAACATGTATTCTCAGTTCACAAATTCAACATTAACAGTCATTTATAAAAGCAAGCAGAAATCGTAAACATAACCTGTAGCAAACATGCCTGCATGATGTTGTGCATGCAAAGGGGAGACAAAATTCGCTGCCTGCAATGTACAGCTACACATTGCTACAGGTTTTGTTCATTTTTATACTTGTTATATTTTTGTACAGTAAGTCGTACTGTGTTCTAAACCACTTCAAAAAGTCTGAGCAAACTTATTGAAGAGTTGGAGGAGGTTTGAGCGTGATGAGAGACGTTTTTAGGATGTATTTACAGAAAAGATTTAGGTGACTATTGACTTTTGTTGTTTGTTAGCAATGTTAGCCTCGCAGCCAGAGTTCTAAAATAAAAAAGCAAAATTTGAACACCAAACATGTCTTGACTGATCGACTACATCTGTGCTGAAGTGCAAAACTGTGTACATTTGATTTTACGCTGAACCGGTTATTTAAAACACAGTAGCCTACATGCATTTTTATGCTGTATTATAAAGCACAGTCTGTTAGCATGAATATTCATTACTGTTTAATAACACTGTAAAAACGCTGCCTGTGAGACCACGGGGTCACGATGGGGTGATGCATGTGTGTGCAAGCCGCTATAGATCAGTGGTTACGGCTGTATAAGCTGAACATGTGAGCGGCCTTTATGTTCTTTGTGGTCAGTTGTATTGGCTGAATAATGCGGCGGTCACGTTGGGTCAGAGCTAATAACAAACAGCTACTGCTGCTCATAACGAATTTCTGCAAGTGGTCTAACAGGTGATGTATGAATATGAATAACGGCATAATAATCATAAACACATGGACGTGTACATTCATATACATACAGCAAGCCTAAAAGAAACACATGTTTTGGGATATGGTCTCTCTCTCGCTCTCTCTCTCTCTGTCTCTGTCTCTCTCTCTCTTTCTTCTTCTTTCTCTGTCTTGTCTCTCTTTTCTTTTTCACTCATTTCTCTTATCTCTCTCTCTATCTCTTTCTATTTCTCTTTTTCTTTCTTTTTCTCTTCTGTTTTATTTCTCGTTTCTCACATGCACTTTCTTTTTTCTCTTGCTTTCTGTTCTCTTTTTTGTCTCTCTGCTCTCACTTTTCTCTCTCCTTTCTCTTTCTTTTCTCTTTCTCTCTTTTCTCTCTTTTTTCTCTCTTCTCTCTCTTTCTTCTTCTTTCTCCGTCTTGTCTCCCTTTTCTTTTTCACTCATTTATCTTATCTCTCTCTTTATCTCTTTCTATTTCTTTTTCTTTTTTCCTCTTCTGTTTTATTTCTCGTTTCTCACATGCACTTTCTTTTTTCTCTTGCTTTCTATTCTCTTTTTTGTCTCTCTGCTCTCACTTTTCTCTCTCCTTTCTCTTTCTTTTCTCTTTCTCTCTTTTCTTCTCTCTTCTCTCTCTTTAGTCTTTCACTTTTTCTCTTACTTCTCTCTCTCTCTCTCTGTCTCTCTCATTTCTCTTATCTCTTTCTTTATCTCTTTCTATTTCTCTTCTCTGTTCTATTTCTTGTTTCCCTCACACATTTTCTCTTTTTTCTTTTGCTTTCTTTTCTCTTTCTTATTCTCTCTTACTTTCTCTATCTCTCTTTTATTTCTCTCTTATTGCTCTTTATCTTTATCTCTCTCTATTTCTCTTTTTCTTTTATTTTCTCTTCTCGGTTTTATTTCTCATTTCTCACATCTCTTTTTTCTCTTGCTTTCTGTTCTCCTTTTTGTCTCTCTCTCTGCTCTCGCTTTTCTCTCTCTTTTCTCTTTCTTTTCTCTTTTCTTCTCTCTTCTCTCTCTTTACTCTTTCACTTTTTCTCTTACTTCTCTCTGTCTCTCTCTCTCATTTCTCTCTTATCTCTCTTTTTTATTTCTTTCTATTTCTTTTTATCTCTGTTTTATTTCTTGTTTCTCTCTTGCACTCTTTCTCTTTTTCTTTTGCTTTATTTTCTTTTTCTTGCTCTCTCTTACTTCCCTTTTTTTCTCTCTCTGCTCTCGCTTTCTCACCTTTCTCTTTCTTTTCTCTTTCTCTCTTTTCTTTTATCTTCTCTCTCTTCGCTCTTTTACTTTTTCTCTTACTCCTCTCTTTTCCTCTTTCTCTCTCTCACTCTCATTTCTCTTATCTCTCTTTCTTTGTCTCTTTCTATTTCTCTTTTCCTCTTTCTTTTTTTCTCTCCTCAATTTTGTTTCTCGTTTTTCAAGCACACACTTTCTCTCTTTTTCTCTCCTCAATTTTGTTTCTCGTTTTTCAAGCACACACTTTCTCTCTTTTTTCTTTTGCTTTTTTTTCTCTTTCTTTCTGTCTTACTTTTCCTTTCTTTTTCTCTCTCTCTCTGGTCTCACCTTTCTCTCTTAATCTCTTTTTTTTCTCTCTCTCTTTTCTTCTCTCTTCTCTCTCTTCACTCTCTCACTTTTTCTCTTAGTTCTCTCTCTCATTTCTCTTTTATTGGTTTCTCTCTCTCTCATTTCTCTTTTATTGGTTTCTCTCTCTCTCTCTCATTTCTCTTTTATTGGTTTCTCTCTCTCTCTCATTTCCCTTTTATTTCTCACTTTCTCTCTTGCACTCTCTTTTCTTTTGCTTTCTTTTCTTTTTCTTGCTCGCACTTTCTTTCTTTTCTCTCTCTCTGCTCTTGCTTTTTTCTCTCCTTTCTCTTTCTTTTCTGTTTCTCTTTTCTGTTCTCTCTCTCACATGTCTCTCTTATCTCTCTCTTTCTTCATCTCTTTTTCTCTTCTTCTTACTTTTTCTCTTCTCTATTTTATTTCTCATTTTTCTCTGGCACACTTTCATTTCTCTTTCTCTTTCCTTTCTCTTTCTCTCTCTTCTTCTTTCTCTTTACTATTTCTCTTTTTGCTTCTCTCTCTCTCTCTCTCTCTCTCCCTCTCTCTCAGTTTATCAGCAGCTGTGAGCTGTGTTGATTCTCTCTCTCTTCACTGAGCTGCAGATTGGTGATAAATCATTAGAATATTTTTTCCGTTGCTCAGTTTGGGAGTGTCGCCCGGCTTTTCTTGCACACACACACACACACACACTCACACACTGTGTCTGATGCTGACGGGGCGCTGGGTTCAGCCAGGTTGTCCAGCAGGATTCAGCTGCTCCTCATTCCTCCTCTGTCTGTCTGTCTCTCTATGTCTGTCTGTCTGTCTGGATGTTTCCCTCTCTCTCCATCTCTACTATTACGTCTCCCTCTGTGTTTGCCGTGTATGTCATTGTTATACTGATGATACAGAAATTTACATGCATACAACTTCAACTCCAAAAAAATTGGGATAGTATGTGAAAAGCTAATGACAACTGGAATTTATTTGAATTATATAGTGACAAGGCTGTACTGATTGCATCCCCAGCCACTCTTAAGAAAACTGGACAGCACTAAATATCCTAGGTGTTACTAACATCCTGCTCAGCCCAGGTTAGGAGTCTTGGTGTCATTTAAAGAGTCCATATCACGGAAAACTGAATTTTGCTCACGTTTTCAAAATAGAAGAGTTTAATATAATGCATGATCCACCTTTTTAGCCGAAAGCGGATTAGCCCCGCCCATTCATACTGAAGATATAAGAAGTGTTTCATCCTGGACTGCTTTTCAAATAAAGCAAAATACAGGGCTGCCAATCAGAACAGAGCTCATTTACATTATTTACATAAATTAGTAACAGAAAAGCTTGCTCTTAGGAAATAACCTCTCTGTCTTTCTCTCTCTCTCTCTCTCTCTCTCTCTCTCTCTCTCTCTCTCAGGGTACAGCCTCTGTTCTGCAGCGTAGGTCTGACAATGAAGAATATGTGGAGGTGGGTCGTCTCGGACCATCTGATTATTTTGGTAAGCATCCAAACAACTACAAATCCCACAATGCTGCTCCAAAACAAAAAAACAAAGCAGAGTCCTGACCTGCTCTATAAAAAAAATACAGTACAGCACCACCACTCTCTGCGGGCTGTAGCTATTGGCGTGACATCATTGTCTGTGGCCTACAAGAAATATTTCAATACATAGTTGTCTCATTGGCCAGACATGATCTCGTAATGAAAACATCTGGGGACAACCCTGAGAAAATTTGGGCTAAATGTGGGATGGAATGCACCAATGCCAGCTTGGCCTACTGTGTTCCCATGGTAACAGAGATACATCACCACTCACATTGTTACTCGGGTAACAATGAACTTTCCCAAGTTTATCCCTATTTATGAGCTGTTACTGACTTCCCACCTGTAGGTGGCAGTAGCATGAGCAGCAGCACCTGTAGACCTCACAATGTTCCTGAATGTTCCCCCCCTGTGCAGGTGAGATAGCGCTGCTGCTGAACCGCCCACGTGCCGCCACCGTGGTGGCCCGAGGACCGCTAAAGTGCGTGAAGCTGGACCGGCCGCGATTCGAGCGCGTCCTGGGACCCTGCTCCGAAATCCTGAAGAGGAACATCCAGAGATACAACAGCTTCATCTCCCTGACTGTCTGACCCTCATGGCAGGAGGGCGATGCTCACGGGGAGCCGGGGCGGGGGGCGGCGCCGGGCTGCATGAAGCAGTTCGTGATGAATTACCTGAGCTTCACCTACAGAGTTTTCACTGTATGTGCGTCGGGGGTGAAGCGGGGACTTTGTTCACGAGCTCTTTCATGAAGCCTCACGTTGTTTTTCTTTTCTTTCGCGTGAGGTTGCGGGTGTTGTGGGGTGGAGTTACCATGGGAGATGATTATATACGAGCTTTCTGCCTTTTCGTTTCACTTCTGCTTTTTTTTTTCGTTGACGTTGTTGTTATTTTTGTGCGTTCTTCGCTTTTCTTGTGCACTTCGTGCCGTAGCTTTATTTATGAACTATGAGATCTATGAAGAGGTGCGTTGGAGATGATTTCATACATGAGTTAGGTCTGTGTATTTTACAGTGTGGTGCATGCAAACCAGAGATGCACACTTATAGATTGTATTGAGGATATAGTACTGCACAAAAGCCAGATACCACCCTTCATTTCTTTTATTTACAGGCAAAGAGTTTGTTTTTTACTATCAAAAAAAAATAGAGAATATAGATTTAACGGAAAATTATACAGATGCACTTTATTACAACTTGCGTTGTTTTCAGGAGACTCACTTTCAGTTTTTCAAAGAAATCTGCAGGGATATTTTTCAACACTTCCAAAGTTCAGTCTTAGAAGTTGCTTGTATAGTCTCATGATTGTTCAGAGTGCACTGTTAGAAATAAAGGTTCTGTGCAGGTACATTTTTCGTTCATCAAGGTACAAACGATGTAAATGTTCCCCCAAAGGTACAACAGTGGTTTTAAGGTCCAGTTGTGAACCTTAGATAAGTTTTTTTCCAGGTGAAAAGTACAGATTTGTACCTTTTCATAATCTACTGTTCTAAAACAGATCAATAAAATAAAAGCCTGGAGACGAGACGGGGTGTGTGGAGTCAGTACAACTTAGAAAATATAATTTCAATGGATTATGGTACAGTTATGTTCCCCGACTCAAGGTACTGAGATGTACCCTTGAGGGTCCCACCCCAGTGACAAGAGGGGAACTGCCCCAGAGACAGTTTAGTACCTTTATTTCTGTATTTGTGTAGATTATCAACCCAATCTTGTACTTAATAGCTGTTTTGAAAGGTAAATGAACTAAAAGAAGGGTGGTCTCTGACTTTCGCACAGTACTGTGTATTGACGAGTCATTTGAGGATGTGTGTTTTTAGTGTGGTTAGACATGGTTGCACATTGCCTTCACGCATTGGCTTTATGGTTCAGGCTTGCGCTCCGTTTGGGTTGGTGTGCCATTTTTTTCCAATTCAGTGGTCAGCGCACCGGCTTCGTTCACTGACGTTTCCTTTCTGGCCGGTCCGTAAACGACCTCTGTGCTTTTAAACTGTGCTTCTACCGTCGGTACGCATGGGAAAAGGGTTTAGTTCTGATTTTGGTAATGAGTTTTAAGGGCAGGTGCTGTTTGGACGGAGTTTTCCAGTGTAAAACGGGTGAATCAGAGTTTTTTTCTATTTTGAGCGGGAGGGGGGTCTTTTTGCTCAATCCTGATGTTTAAAAAAAAAAAAAAAAAAAAAAAAAAGCTTATTGGAATCTTTCATTGTCCTGTTTCCCCAACATGCAATGGTGTTACAAATTTCAGTAGAGACGATGTGTACACACACACACACACATACACACACACACACACACACACACACACATTTCAACCCCAAAAATGAAAGATTGTCTTTAAGATTTAAGGATCTGTTTTTGGTTATGGTTATAGTTTTTGATGAGCAGAGGGATATTTTCAGAAATTTTCTGCACAGTTGAGCTCCTGTATGGTGTGTTTCTGTTAATACATGCACACACACACAACACACAACACACACACACACACACATACACATTACATACACACACTCACACAGTCCATTTTTAAAGCCAATAAAGAAAAGCTTCTAAACAGCAGTGTGGGTTTAGTTATTACAGTCCATGTTTTTATCTTTTATTTAAATTTAAGAGGGTCTGGAGGGGTCCCAGACCTTCCATAAGAGTAAAGGCACCCCCCCAATAAAAGGGACCAAATTGAACCTGGTGGGGTCCCATGTTATTTCCTCAAATAAAATGTGAATTTACTGATAAAATGAATGCCCTCACACGAGCTGACCGCCTTCTTTTCTGTGTTTTCATCATCTTCAACATTAAACTCCTCCCCCTGAATGAACTTTAAAAATGTATATTGATACAGATACGAAGGCGGAATTCTTATGCCTAGTTGTACTTGTTAAAAACCATAGAGACAAACAAAATGACCAAAATGATTCGCCCTTAATTTTTATTTATTTATTTATTTTTTGCTAATTTACATCAATTACACGTCATTCAGTGCTATATTGAGGCAAGAGACAGCAATATAGACATATAACTGACACATCAGACCACTGTACATCCTCTCTCTGCTCTCTCATTCTGCATGAACTGGGCGACCAATCAGATTGCTGATGTGTGGCACAGTAACCGATTATGTCGGGTAAGATTTAACACAGGAAGGCGCACTGACCAAGAGACACAAACATTGTTTTTATGTTAGACTTTTTTTGGCTAAAAACAATATTAGGCCGCTTTTGGGTTCAGAACTGGCGTCTGACTGCATAGACTTTCTCTCTCTGAAACTCAGTCTGCATGTGAAAGAGCGACACGGCAGCTGTTGACACATGATAGTATGTGTTTATCTAAATAGCGGCTACTGCAGAAAAATACAAACTCCGCTCTAAAACAAGCACAAATGGATCTGTACTATTGTGCTATGCTCAGATTATTATAAAGTTCAGAACATTTTGTTGTTGTTATTAACAATTGCCATCCTGACATTAGAATGTGCTGCGGCACCTTCAGCACCCCAACTTCCCACATCCATGAATCTCACTACTCATTACTTCGAAGTTACTCTCTAAACCTCACCCAAATGTGTCCTAACGTTTTTTGTAAGGGGTCAGATTTAGACGCATGCAGTTAAAATGTGTAAAAGGCTTTACAAGTTTGTCCAAAATCCATAATAAAGGTTAAAAAAAGATGAGGGTCAAAACCGAAACAAGCCAACAATATACAAACATAACAAAGATAAATCCAGGCAGCCAAAGTCCCAAAAGGGCACAGGCAAAAGTGAGTCAAAAACATAAACAATGGGTCAGATACACAAAGAGCAGATCTAACACGGTCAAGGACCCTCAGTAGCTCTACGAAGGAAGCAATACCTCTTAACTCACCTTGCCTAGAGCCCGGGCCTATAAACTAACTGGATCTAGTCACATAAATCAATAGAAGTCAATAAAACAGGTAAAAATCATCAGTAGTCAGGGGAAGCTGATCTCTGATAGGTGGAACCTGGTGACTTTGACATCACGTGTTCACCCAGAGGGTTCTAGGAATTAGAGTCCTGAGAGTCGTGGCTGGAGGGATGCGTGATGTTATTTAGAAAGAAATGATCAGTCAGTAAACACTATTTAAAAGGCTTCTCTATTTACTTTAATCAACACAATGGCTGATGTTGTTTTTTTTTTTTAACAAAGAAATAAGGAAGTAGGGATGGTTCAAAAACAGCTGCCCTGAAATAAAATATTAAAAAATAAAAAATAGGGCTCACTAAGCTGTTTCTGGTCTGCTTGGGTGAGACTGGGGCTCTCTCCTTTTCAGGACGGGGATCTTTGTCCATCGGTTTCATATTAGCGTGATTAGATGGTTCGACAGATTGCTCGAAGATTTTACTGCGCTTCCCACACTCACACCGCGCTGCTAACGTTCGTTCAAGTTGCGCATGTGTGCACAAATTACATGCAAAGAAAATGCAAGGAATAATCTATATAGAGGAAATGTATGTTTTAACTGCAATGTAGAAAATAATGTGCTCTTAGAGACGTATTAGTAACATCATTCTTATTGTCAGTAAGTGTTATGTGATTATAAAACTTTAAAATGTAATCCGTAATGCGTTACTTTGTACTGTCACCTCCTACACTGCTGGACACAGATGGTCAGTGAAGCTCAGACAGGAGGATTCTGGGTTAGCATTCAGATTCAGTGTTTCCTGCTAAGTATTTTCATGCATATTTTTATCGAATAAAAACTACTTAGATTAAAAATAGACTATAGATTAAAAATGCATATAGAAGCTAGTGCGCTCAGTTGAAGTGTATATATTTTGGTAAGGTAAAAAAAACGATGAATTAAGATGGAAACATTCATAAGGCTGATCAGGTGTTTCTGTATTTGTGGCCATGACTAAGAAACTAGTTTCTAGTGGATTAATGAAGAAATTGAATCACATCTTTATCTTATGAAAGAAAAAAAACATAATAATGATGACAAACATGTAGTTCATCTTGAGCCATTTTATGTGCTTGCACTTTGTATGTGCGCTATATGAAATATAGCCATAAATACAGCCATAAAATTAAACAAAACAGTAAAAAGACGTTGTCCAACATTAAATTGCTCTGTAAATTTGCTGCATATATCTCAGAAGTGTTTTTACGAACGGGCTGTAGAGAGATAAACTCTCTTGCACAGAGTGGATGGAAACACCGTCTAGTTGCATAACTTTTTACGACGTTTCAGTTGAATTGAATTAGACAGCTGGATGGAAATCTGGCTAGTTAGTTATATTGCACCTTCCTCTAACTGACCCTGCCCCCTCCCCCCCCTCCCTCATTCTGGCTCTAAATGCTAAAGTGAGACTTTGACACATTCCAACTCATCTTAACACGAGTAAATCAACTAAAGCAACTGAGGAATGTGTCCAAGACCACCACTCCCCCCGCATACACACAACAGAGGTGTAGTTAGTCGCATATGCTGTATACTGACTTTTTTGATGGGCTTTTTCCATAAACTGACTTCTAATGATGGGTTTATGTCTATAGACACTTTTATTTCTTTTTGCAAATTACTTCACAAGTCACAGAGGAGAAGACATCACCTACAAGTTTAAAACATGTCGAATCATTTGACTGGACAGTTTCATGTGGTGATTAACAAACACACCAGCACTGGACACCAATGTGTTCAAGTCTAAAGCGGTCAGTCACAGACATGTTGACACAATATCCACAAATATCAGTATGTATATATGAAAGTTTGTGAACCCTTAAGAATTTTCTATATTTCCGCATAAATTTGACCTAAAACTTCATCAGATGTTCACACTAAGTCCTAATAGTAGACAAATACAACCAAATTAAAACAAATGGGACAAAAATATTAGACTAGGCCATTTATTTATTGATGAAAATGATCCAATATTACACATCTGTGAGTTTTAAAAGTATGTAAACTTTTAGGATTAGCAGATCATTTGAAGGTGAAATTAGAGTCAGGTGTTTTCAATCAGTGGAATGGTGAACCGGTGTGAGTGACCACCCTGTTTTATTTAAAGAACAGGGATCTATCACAGTCTGATCTTCACAACACACGTTTGTGGAAGTGTATCATGGAACGGACAAAGGAGATTCCTGAGGACCTCAGAAGAAGAGTTGTTGATGTTCATCAGGCTGGATCATTTCTAAGGAGTTTGGACTTCACCAATTCACAGTCAGACAGTCTGTGTACAAATGGAGGAAATTCAAGACCCTGTTACGCTCCACAGGAGTGGTCGACCAACAAAGATCACACCAAGAGCAAGAAGTGTAAGAGTCCGCGAGGTCACAAAGGTAACTTCTGAGCAATTAAAGGCCTGTTTCACAGTGGCTAATGTTAATGTTCTTGAGTCCATCATCAGGAAAACACTGAACAACAGTGGTGTGCATGGCAGGGTTGC